ATAATTGCTTTGACTTGTGCAAGTTTGATGTTAAACAAATGTTTTAGATGAACTATTGTACCTGTGGTATATAATAATCACAATAACGTGGAAATCAAACCACCTGAGCATCATAAGTAATGATAATAAATTTTATAACATATCAGATAAAAACATCCTTAGAGGAAGACATTAAGGACATTGGTAATATGTACGTCTGTACAGATTTTAACTAAATACATTATAATTATGTCGAATTTTCACAATATGTACAGAGTATGTACAACAGAAGTTAAATTATGGACAACATAAATGATAGCATGTAACCTAGGTACATTGAAAGAAAAAAAAATTACAACCAATTAAAACTAAAATGCTTCGATGTCTATATTAGTATTATGGGGTGTTATTAATTAAAGTACAGGCTAGTAATACATTTACAAACGCTACGTCTAAACCAGGTTGTAGTTTTACTACAGATCTGTTAGGTAATTCATTTACCTAATCATTTATTAATTCACAAAGTATGTGTAACGCCATTATAGCTAATTTCGTAAGCACCATGTCATACTATACACACAATAAAATGTGATTACATGAGAAGTTAGATCAGTGATACAATTTAAGTTATTCAATTATTTTTTAGCAAAGTTTAAACTTCTCATACATATAAGAAACCTTATGTCTGCAATATAATTTTCGACGATAGTGAAGATTTCCTTCTCATACCAAATTTCAGTGAACTTTTTACAATACTCCAAAAAGCTTTCATAAACTTGTGGGACATACTGATACAAAGATTAAAATTAGCTTCCAAAAATACTTCAGGCTTTGTTTTCAACACATGGTACGTATTGATACAAAGTTTACAGTAAGCTTTTAAACAACGCTATATATATATATATATATATATACACACACACACATATATATATACACACACACACACACACACACACACATATATATACACACACATACACACATATATATATACACACGCACACATATATATATATTTTGTTTGTTTGTTTGTAGTTAAGCACAAAGCTACACAAAGGGCTATCTGTGCTCTGCCCA